ACCTCACAGACTCATCATCACCTCACAGACTCACCATCACCTCCACAGACTCACCATCACCTCACAGACTCATCATCACCTCCACAGACTCATCATCACCTCCACAGACTCATCATCACCTCACAGACTCACCGTCACCTCCACAGACTCATCATCACCTCCAAAGACTCATCATCACCTCACAGACTCATCATCACCTCAGAGACTCACCATCACCTCACAGACTCATCATCACCTCACATACTCATCATCACCTCACAGACTCATCATCACCTCCACAGACTCATCATCACCTCACAGACTCATCATCACCTCACAGACTCATCATCACCTCCACAGACTCATCATCACCTCCACAGACTCATCATCACCTCACAGACTCACCATCACCTCCACAGACTCATCATCACCTCACAGACTCATCATCACCTCACAGACTCATCATCACCTCAGAGACTCACCATCACCTCCACAGACTCATCATCACCTCACAGACTCACCATCACCTCCACAGACTCATCATCACCTCACAGACTCACCATCACCTCCACAGACTCATCATCACCTCACAGACTCATCATCACCTCACAGACTCATCATCACCTCACAGACTCATCATCACCTCACAGACTCACCATCACCTCCACAGACTCATCATCACCTCCACAGACTCATCATCACCTCACAGTCTCATCATCACCTCACAGACTCATCATTACCTCACAGACTCACCATCACCTCCACAGACTCATCATCACCTCACAGACTCACCATCACCTCCACAGACTCATCATCACCTCACAGACTCATCATCACCTCCACAGACTCATCATCACCTCACAGACTCACCATCACCTCACAGACTCATCATCACCTCACATACTCATCATCACCTCCACAGACTCATCATCACCTCCACAGACTCATCATCACCTCCACAGACTCATCATCACCTCACAGTCTCATCATCACCTCAGAGACTCACCATCACCTCAGAGACTCATCATCACCTCACAGACTCATCATCGCCTCCACAGACTTCATTCCTCTTTAGTCTTCCCTCCTTTGATTCTCTTAAGCAAAGACCTGGCATTGCCCACACTAGGACTGACTGCTACAGCCATTAGCATTAACTTTTCTCTCTGGATGACATTTCCCAGGCTCACTTGATGTTCAGTGTGGCCCTGAGACCAAGGAACTCGGGGAACTTGAGCACAAGTGATTTACTGCTCTTCAGAGACTAAACACCACCAACACCATCTCCTAGTCTCCACTCCTTCAGCTGTCTTCCTTCTGATGGGCGGCCTTGGGAGACAACTGTGGAATAGACAATCCCACAAGATGCAGGAAACAAAGGCAGGGGAATGTGGCCCCGTGACAGCGTGCTTGCTTATCACATGCAAGGACCTGGGATAAATCCCGCGTACTTTAAGAAAACAAACAACAAAATAATAAAAACAATCTTTGGCTCATTATTGCTGCTGCTGCTGTTAGTTTCTCGAGACAGGTTTTATCTGTGTGGCCCTGGCTGTCCTGGAGCTCACGCTGTAGCCCAGGCTGCCCTTGAACTTAGAGATCTGCCTGCCTCTGCCTCCCGAGTGCTGGGATTAATCTCAGTTGTCAACTTGATGGGCTCTAGGATCATCTGGGAGACGGGTCTCTGGGCGTGCCCATGGGAGGTTATCCTGATTAGGTTAACTGACACCGTTGTAGGTGTCACCATTCTCTGGGCTAGGGACCTGGACTGCAGAAGGAGAGGAAGCTAGCTGGGTGTGCGTCCACCACGCTCTTCCTCCTGGCTGAGACACAACGGGGAGCCCAGCAGGTGAGACAGGGAGGGGCCTATCTTACGGTCTTGACATTCTCATCATGGCTGTACACGCTTCATAAATGTAGGTTTCCCATAATGAGCTCAACTATGGGAAATGTCCAGTGTTGTCCGATTGTACCAGAGAGGTCCTGGATCACATTTTTATCTGGACAATCTAAATGACATTAGAGGTGGTGGCTTCCGACCCAGATGATCTGTCTCCCTCCCAGCCATTCGCTGTGGCGGAACTCCAGGTTTTGAGCCAACAGCCCCCAAAGCCTGTATTCTCAGCACAGTGCAGGCCGTACAGATTTTACTACAAAATCAACCAGAATGCCTCCGGGCAATGGGGGGCTGTGAAAAGAAAATGACAGAAGGAACTATAGGAAGAGGGGACCGGGGAACCCTGGAAATGGAAGCGAGGCGGGTGTGATTTACCAACAGGGGACATATTATGCAGGGCTTCACGGAAACGGATCCCATTTAAAAGGTGATAATTTGTTCCACTGTGGTCTCAGGGCTTGGGGCTGCTGGAAGCTCTTTGTGCTCCTAGAAAAATTTAATAGAGCAATAACGGCTTTAGTGACACCCCCACACTGCCCCCACCACCCTCGCCCCTGGGTGCTGGACTGTCAAAATGTGCTCTGAAAACACCGGCCATTAATCACCCTTCCCAAGAGCGGCTATGCCTGGCAGCTGGGAGGGCTCGCTTCCGTTGTTCCCAGATTTCTCTGGGATGCTGGACTGAGACAGGAGGTCCACTGAGCCAGCGTAGAAGGGACGACTCTGGGAGAGCCCCATCGCTCCCGTGGCCCTTTCAGGGTTTCTCCAGCAGGCGCTACCTCTAAAATGTTGGGTCCACCTCAGACAAGATGGCCCTCCGGATTCTGAATGACCAGTTCAAATCATCCCGCCTGCTACTGACTATGTCACCTCAGGCGAGGGGTTCAGGGACACCGAGTCGCTGCGTCATCCATCAAGGGTGCTAACAATGCTCCTTCCCTTGTGTGGTGCCTCTGTGAGCATCCAAGAAACAGTGTGATGGAAAGTCCCTTACTGAGCCTCCTTCCCTACCCCAGCCTCAGGAGCACAGAAGGGCCCAGCGCATTTCAGATTTTCCATATCTACCACACTTACTTTGTATTTTAAAGATTTCTTTGAGAGAGAGAGTGTGTGTATGTGTGTGTGTGTGTGTGTGTGTGTGTGTGTGTGTGCTTCCATGCCCATATATATGATTATTAGTGCCCAGAAGCCAGAAGAGGGTGTTGTGTGCCCTGGAGCTGGAGTTACAGGCAGAGGTGAGCCACCCAACATGGGTGCTGGGAACTGAACTCAAGCCCTCTGGAGGAGCAGCCAGTCCTCTCACTGCTGGGTTCCATGGAGCAGCAACCATACCAGGAGAGATGTGGGTTTGGCTGTGTTTAAATCAGTCTTGCCATTTCACCCAAGCTGGCCTTGAACTTCAGGCCTCTTGCTTCTGTCCCCTAGGTGCTGGGCTAAAGTTGTGCACCACGCTGAACCTGCTTCTGTGTATAGACACCGGAGTCTCAGAAAGTATGTCCCTCAGGTTCCTCCTACACCTTGCCTCCTGGACTCCCCATCCGTAGAAGGGGTTGGAACTCAACACAGTAGAGGCTGTGTGCGTGAGGCAAAGCTTGAGGGAGGAAACCCGAGGTGTTCCCTTGAGGCTGCAGGGCACAGAGAAGCAGGTTTCGGGTCTGTACTGAGTTCTTGGGATCAGTGTGCTTGGCCCTAGCCTTCTGCCTACACTGCAGGTGACCCAGTCAGGAAGATTCCAGAGCCGTATGCAGACGCTGAACCCACACTCAGCACAATACTAACTACAGCCAGTGTGATTTCTGAGCTCACGAGGCAGTGTCCAAGACCCTTTGGTGGGAATCCATGAGCTTGTGGGTGGGCTGCGAGTCACAGGCTTGTGTGACTTTGGAGCTCTGGGCCCCAGTACATGGACTGATAAGTTTGCTTGTTGTGATGGTATAAAAAAAAATAGAAATTCCTAGCTGGGAGTGGTGGGAGTTGTAATTCTAGAGTGAGGAAATCAGAGGCTTGTTGGTCATAAATTAAAGGCCAGTGGGCTCAAGGCCAATCAGATTATGTAGGAGGTCCTATTATTTTTTGTTTTGTTTTTTTTAAAGACGGCTGCGGTTGGCAGTGGCAGAGCATTTACCTAGCACTTGTGAAGCCTTGGGCTCAACTCCTACTATTGAAAAAAAGAAGCTGAGTGTTGGTGGCGCACGCTTTTAATCCCAGCACTGGGGAGGCAGAGACGGGCGGATCTCTGCGAGTTCCAGGCCACCCTGTTCTACTGAGCGAGTTCCAGAACAGCCTCCAAAGCTACAGAGAAACCTGTCTTGAAGAAACAAAAACAAAATGCAAAACAACAACAACAAAAGATGAAGGAAGGAAGAAAAGAATAGAGCGGAGGGAGGAATAGGAAATAGGAATTACTGGCCCAACTAGCGAGTGAAAGTCTAATTTCTTTCCGAACCCACACAGTGTGGCATGAGGCACAACGCTTCCCTCCAGGCCACTTGTGAGAGACTCCTTAGTCACAGGTAAGAGAGGCTCTGAGGACCTGCGGGGTGGCGGGGGTGACGAGGGCGGGGGGGGGGGGTCAGGGGTCGTCCCTGGAGGCCATCCTTGCACTCTTCCTGTTCTGTGCACTCCATCAGGAAAAAGAGACCCGAACCTCTCCTGGGGTGTTAGCATGAAAATCTGGTGTTTCTCCTAAGGAAACAGAAGCCATTTCTGTCTGCCTCCAGGACCAAGAAGCTAGCTAAGGGTCAAAGGTCACCCCTGCAGCACAGTCCCCTGCCAGGGACACCAACACGGTGGTGGTGGGTAAGGTATGAGGGGAACGGGGTCTCGGAGCCCAGTGCCTTTCTGTTGGGCACTTCAGATTCCTCTAAATAGCCAAGAGCACATCCTTCACTTCCTTCTAGACATTCCCAAAAGCATTTTGTTAGGGGGTGAGTGGAGAGTGGTCCCAGAAGAAGGGGTAGCCTTTGGTACCATGGAAGCTCCCTGAGAGTCCAGAGGTACCAGAGGATGGGAAAACCCAGGTCTTGCAAATGCAAACGCCTAACACTTGAGTGAGCATGAGATTCTCAGACGCTAATACGTAGCAGCTGCTCCTGGTTTAGGAGCCAAGAGAATTCCCAGAAGGGCCAGCCCTGCTCTCAGCAGAGACTAACCGTTTCCCACTGCAAACTGTGACCGGGCACATAACCAGTGAACCAGCAAGACGGCGGCCACCGGCGTCACCAACACCGGGGTGGGTGACACTCAGGGGTGAGTGACAGACTTGCCCTCCCCAGTCAGCGACATGACAGGGTTTCTAGTCCACAGAGAAGTCAGGCTCAGCTAGCTGGAGGCCAAACGCAGTTGGACGACATCTTGGGAGTAAATAACCCTGAATATTAGGCAGGCTGTGGAGGGTCAGTGAGTCTGTTACAGCCGACGGGCTGTGTCCACTGAGGGAGCTCACCTGCCGGTGCCAGAGCCCTGCTGAGGGAGCAAGCCGTTGCGTGGGGAGGGGAGACATCAGGGAAGGATCCACAGCAGGCTCGCCGTGCCATCTTCTGGTCGGCGCTTCAGACCACACACAGGTTGTCAGGCTTCCTCGGTCTCCTCCTCCCTGCTCTGCACAGCCGCCTGTGATGTCCCCACGCACAGTGACAAGAGGGCTTCAGGCGTGCGTTTCCACTGTGACCTGGGCTGTTTCGGTTGGGACTAACAGACTACCAGGGGACAGTGTGACTGCCACATGGGAGGGGGTTGGCACAGGACGTAGTCCACCAGCTGCTCTTGGCATTGCTGGTGTCACCCGCGGTAACAAGCCTACTGCAGACTGAATGACTATCCATATTCAGTTACAGGGGTCCTGTCGCTCTGAAGCCTCCAGCATGCCTATGCCCTCCTCTGCGAGAGTTACTATTGACCATGGGCTTGACGGACTCTAGAATCATCTAAGACAACCCAGGTGTGTTCGTGAGGGATTATCTAGACTGGGTTTATCAAGATGGGAAGAACCGCATTAAATTCACACAGCACTAATCCATAGCCCGGGAGGTCCTAGACTAAATAAAAATGCAATGCTTTGAGCATCAGTCTATGTCTGTCTCTGCTTTTGGACAATAGATACAATGTCACCAGCTGCCTCCCTCTCACTCCTGCTGCCATGACAGACTGTGAGCTTCCAACTGTGAGTCAAATTTACCCTTCCTCCTTCCCTTCCTCAAGTTGCTTTTATAGGGTGTTCTGTCACACAATGATGAGAATAACTAATACGCTCCCTGTCCAATGTTGCTGCTGGTTACAAAGCAAAGCCCCGGGAAGAGCAGCTTTAATGGGAAGAAAATGGCTCCAAAGGGCGTTGAGCCTGGTGTTCATGGCTGGGAGTATGCGGGGGCCTGAAGGAGGGCAGGTACCTGCAGTCTTCCCTCCAGAGCCCCCGGCCCTGGCGTCTGCTTTCCCAGTAAGCCTTCACTAGATTCATTTTCTGCAGCAGCCCTCTGGCGGTGGCTGCATTGGGCCCTGGGATGCCTTCCTTGGCAAGGGAAGTATTGTCAGCCAGTCTAGAAGATGTCTGGGGGAGCTGGCTGGATGCTGGGTACCCGCACACTTCCACAGTGATGGCTCCGAGGGCCCATCCGCAGAGCCAAGTGTGAGTGACTCTGCACACAGTGTGCCACATGCCAGAAGCCCTGTGGACTCAGGGAAGGTGTGGGAGCCTGGGCAAACCCCCCAGCGGCAAGGAACAGCAGGGACAGGAAAGGCAAGGCAGGCACTAGAACCAAGACCACTAGTGTCATCCAGTCCTTCAGCTTCCTCAATCCCAGGCTAGCCCAAACACTCTACAGTGAGACTACAGCAGGCACCAGCATCCATCTGCAATTTGGGGTCACCTATGTCCCTGCCAACTTGGAAACTTACCTCAAACCCTACCTACCCTCTAGAGCCTGAGCTCTCAGAGTTACACTACAAGTTGACACTCCTCTCCTGTCAACACAGGCCATGTCCTGGCTCAGCCTGCAGCTTCTAATATTAGCCCTAGACTTCATTTCCCCCAAACCTGCCCTCGGCCCCACCTCTTGTGACTCTGGGGTTCATTCCTTATCTGCAGAGACCCCCCAGTAATAAGGATGGGGCAGACAAGCGCTTCTCCCCTGGCAGCTTGGCTTGTTCCCCAGGTGTTTTCAGAGGGTCTGTGATATTTGGGGCACTTGGCAGGAGGGGACAGACATATAAACAAGATGATTATACATTGTTGGTCGCTGAGAGAAAAACCAGGAAGCAGGGACAAAGCAGTCAGGTATTTAGGTGGACACGGCCTGAGTATAATTGAGAAGAGAACATGGGAACAGGCTGCCCCAGGCGCAACTGCTTGTGAGGTCATTTCCAAGTCCTGGGGTTCAGGGGCCATTAGATGGCTGTTGTCTCGGGATTGCTGTGCCAGCGCTGGGCTGAAACACTCGGTGGGAAGCATTCTCTTATAGCCGCTGTGCCCAGGGCCCCACTGCTTCCCCAGATGGAGGCAACTGCTGAGCCCCTCCATTCACAGTCTTTCCTGGCCCAAGGGACATTAGAAATAGGACATTCCCAGAATCTCCCAGGTAGACACCCTGCCCCCCAAGGGTACCTGTCTTCTCTGACCCCAGAGGTGGCCTGGATTCAGAGTGGCTAACTATAGATTCTGCTTTCTCATCTCAGCTCTTGGTCTGCCCACCTGGTACCTCCTGCCTGGTGCAACCCTACCGCCACGGATGTGCTGTCCTGGAGGGACGGACAGGGACCAGAATGGGTCCCACTCCCCCACCCCAAGCTAGCTAGAATCTCTACAGGTAACTGCATCGGCCCTTCTTACTTTACTGGTAAAGCCAAGGACAACTTCATTCGGATGAGACCCAGCCAGGGCAGATGAGGAGAGCCCTGAATGCATTAGTCACTTTTTACAGCACTGAGAGCTGGAAGGATCGACTGGACTGGGGGATTCATAGCCAAGAGGTGAGAAACTGCTGGCTCCCATAAATGCTTTCTGGGCTTTGCAAGGTAGATTGGCATACATGGTATAAATGCTGCGTATGTGGTTGGTGGTATGGTTTGTATAAAGGAGGGTGTGTGTGTGTGTGTGTGTGTGCGTGCGCGCGCGCACATGTGCATGTGCATGTGCGTGCGTGCCTACTAGTAGGGGCTCTGCCTTCCTGGACTAGAATGAATGCTAGTTACAGTCAGGCTATTGTCTACATGGCCCAGGTAGAGGATGTATAGTATGGTGGTAGCCAGGGCCTCCCTCTGGAGCCTGTAGACCCTACACCCCTGGTCCTACCTCCCTTGATCATGATCTACATCTCATCACAACCACACTGACAGGAGTCACTGAGTCATATTCCCCAGGAGTGGCATTGTCTCCAGAGCCACACTGGAGCAATCTTTACGCTGTTTTCCTGCTTCTGTCCCACTACAGGCAAGTTCCAGGAAGGGTAGAGGTGGAAGAGGGGCTCCCAAGGTGTGGGAGCTGGGTCACTCCGCTGGAGCTGTCGTGTTTGTCTGAGCCTCTGGAACACACTGCATGTTGGGAATGCTGAAGGCAGCCGCTGGTCACGTGTTAAGCCGCTGTCACCCCCAGTCCTTGCAGACCCCCCAGAGAGAAATATCAGTGTTGGGACCCACATTTGCAGATGGAGCTCAGGGTTGGGGAGGCAGGCAGGAAGAGTAATGCCCTCTGACAGGGAGCTGCACAGGCTGGCTCTCGAGTCCAGTCCTGACTCAGTGACAGCCACCTTTTGAGTCTGGGGTGGTTGCCCTGTGTTTAGAGTGGACAGTGGCATGTTTCTCATTCAAAGGAAAAAGTTCCAGATAAGTTTACACCACCCACACACCGCCGCCAGTGGCACTGCCAATGGCACTGGCATGAAGAAGCAGGGTCCTGGCAAGGATCATTAACAAATCAGAGTTTGGTTGAAAGCGTCTTCTCAGCAAAGAACTTGGCGCACAAAAACCACTCAATTGGTGTTCTGGCCGGAGTCCCGCATATAGAGTTGTCAGAATCAGGAAACTAAAGGTGACATGTCCCTTCCGTTTGGGGAGACCCACTGACCTGCCATTCAGTGTCTCCCTGGACTTCAGGTTTCTGTGGGTACCCTGGAATCTGGGCCATCCATCTGCCTCACTGATTTTCTGTCCCCAGTGACGTGCTGTGTAGGTGACCTAGCTGGAAAAATAGGAATGCCTCAGCCCTGTGCCTGGCCCAAGAATACCCCCAAGGAAAGCAGTGCCCACAGAGGATGTCTGTGAGCCAGCGCTGTGCCCAGCTGCTCCTGCTGCTGGTGAGGGCGGCATAGCGCTCTGCCCCATTGTCCAGTAGACTTGAATTAGTATTCGTGCTCAGCACGGTGGAGTGTGAGCCTAAGGTGTGCAGGGTTAAAGTCTGTGGTGGAGACGCATCTGATAAAGTCACTGGTGGGAAGGGGCTAGAAGCTGGAAGCTGACACACAGCCATGGCATCCCCTCTTGGATGCCAGGACAGGAATGCACGCTGGGGACAAGGCCTTCTGAGTACACATTCCCAGCATCCCTTTCTCCTCATCTCACACTCGTTTCCTGCTTACCAAAGGAGAGGTAGGCTGTCTTCAGAGCACAAATAGCCAGACCTCCTCTGACTCTCCAAGGCCTCTCCGACTTTCAGGGTCACTCCATGCTTAGCAGCATCTGTGGGAGAGTCACACGGGAGAGCTCCACTCTTACACTGTAGGCGACACCCACCTTTGGGACAGAGAAATCAGGGACTGTTCATTTAGTCACCCCTGCTTATTTCTGCCTCCAGAAAACACTATTAAAATAGCAATGAAGGAGTTAAAAGGTACACCCCTTGCACATCCAGGGCCCCACGGAAGGCACAGGCCGAAAGAACAGGGACTGGGACACAAGAATGGAGTTATAATACGGGATTTAAAAAATTTTTGCATTTGTTTATTTATTTTGTGTGTGGGTCTGAGTGTGTGTATATCAGCACGTGTATATTCTGCATGGCACACACATGGAGGGCAGAAGGCAACTTGTCAAAATCGGTTCTCTCTTTTCTCCATGTGGGATCAAAGTCAGGTTGTCAAGCTTGACAGGAAACAATTTTATACAGTGAGTTATCTCACCTAACCAGAACCCAGCCATCCCTGTTCCCCAAAATCTCTCCTGCATACTCCTGACACGGCCCCAGAAGATGGCAACAGGACCGTATAATAGAGATCCCAAGAGCCTCTGGGATTGGTGCTTCCAGGCATGGCAGAGAGACAGGGATGTGTGAGAGGTTTAAGGGTCGGTCTAACCCAGACCTACAGATGCTCCATCCTGCTCTAGCCCTCTCCTGGCAGCAGAGCAAATATACCAAGCAAGAGAACTGAGGAATGTTTTCTAGAAAGATAAGTTCATCCAAAAAGAAATGTATCCAGATAATAACATACGAGGAGAGATCCCACACAGGAAACAAATCCAAACACAGGGAGTGTTTATTCACTCTCCGTGACACGGATCAACCAACAAGCATCTCCTCCCACCGCCTCGTGCTGGCACTTGTGCCTGCACACACACACGCGTGCGCACACACACCCCACAGACAGCCTCTCGGTATATCCCTCACAAAGCAGACAGCCCATGCTTTGTTGTCTTGATACCACCAAAGACATTACAAGAGAAGTAAATGGTAGATCAGCATCCCCTGAGGATGTTGATACATAGTCCCCAGAACCACCATAGAACCCAGGAATACTAAGAGGGGTGAGACAGCACAGCAAATGCAATCTTACCTCGGGAATACAAGGTTGACTCAACTTACGAAGCCACTCAGTAGAACATGTCACAATGATAGAACCAAGGACACTAGACGACCCCCATAGACACACGAACATTTAATACAATGATATGCTCCCCTTCAGGAAGCACCTAGCCAAAGGGGGAATAGAAGGGCACCCTCTCAACCCTACAAGGGTGCCTGTGGAAAACTCACAGCCAGCAACCATCCTTGATAGTGAAAAACAGAATGCTTTCCCCCATAACTAGGAACAAGAGAAGGATGTCTGGTCTGTCTCTTCCATTCAGCCTTGAACTTGAAGGG